AAGGAAGGAAGGAAGGAAGGAAGGAAGGAAGGAAGGAAGGAAGGGGCACACTTTAGGAAGCCCTGCCTTGGTGGTGGCGACTATGGCAGCAGCTACACAGGTTCCCAAGGAGCCCCGGGGTGGCCAGCCAGCCCAGCAGGACATTTGTAGTGTGGGACATGATCTTAGCCTCCCAGCTGGCCTGTGATCCCCCAAGGGTGAAAGTCCCACTCCTCAAGGTTCCTTAGGACTCCAGTGTTTTGAAAAGATCCTCTGGCCCCTGCCCTTCCCACTTCAGCCTCCAACCCCTCTCTGTGGCGAAGGACTTACGTGAACAACCCCAAGTCTGGTGGTACGCAAAGCCTCCAAGTACCAACCTCAATTCTACCCCTTAAAAAAAAAAAAGTCAGACTTGAGGGAGGCTGTGCTCAGTTGTTTCAAACCTAATTTCAAAACTCAGGGTGATGAAGGCTTTCTAGACAAACTCCAGTGGCAGCTCCATTCACCCCCAACATGTGGCTGCCAGTGATCAACTGGCCCCTGCAGCCAGAAAGGAGGAGCGAAAATGACTAAGGGGACCCCATTCCCAGAGGAAACTGCCTTTAAAAGTCTGGGGCCTTGTTTGCTGGCTTTGGATTCTTAAAGGGTTGTCTTAGCTTCACGCCCCCAGTGTTAATAAAACAAACAAAAACAATAAAACTACCCATGAAATCCAAATTCAAATTTTCTCATTACCTGTGAGTCCAGTTTCTCGCATCCATGGTCTCAGTCAAGGCAACACGCACACATACGCACACAGAGCATGCGTATCTATAACAATGTCCTTTTAAGAACAGAGATGTGAACACCTATAAAGTCATGAATTCCATCGTTCCCCCTGTAGGCACTGGGTCACATGAGGTTTCCCATTAAGACAAGCGACTGTGGTCTTGTGTGTTCTGTGCAGCACAAGTCAGGAGTTGTGGATGTTTGTGAACTCCGGGCACCCACCTCTCTGTCCCTGTGCCTTTTCCTCTGCCTTTGGCCACCAGGTGGCATTCTGGAAACATTCTCAGCACCACAGTTTTCTGCACCAAGGCTTCCCCGCTTTTTACACCCAACTGGCCTTTCTCCCTTCCTCTTCTCTATCCCCTTCCAATCCCTGTTCCAGAGTGCAGCTGGAGGGGCCCTCTGGAGGGCAACTTACCTAACCCTCTCTACCAGGTTCTTCACCCGCAGGCATGGCATGAGGGTGCCATGAGACGAGGCAACTCATTGAAAGGCGGGGAGCCCTGGGAAATGAGCTTCCCAAGTGAAGGGAGAAATGCAAGACTCTCTTCACCGTTTGCATGAGGCATAAAACCTGGAAAAGAATACAAGGTAAAAACATAGTCTCCTGTATCGAGAGCTTTCTCTGTACCAGGCACTGTGCCAAGCCCTTACAGTGCATCATCTCATTGAGTCCTTACCACAAACTCATGAAGTGAGTCGCAGCCACACTCTACAGAGAAGGAAACTGAGGCCCAGAGAGCGTAAGTGACTTGTGCACCGTCTCCAAGTTGGGGAGCATTCTGTATGTCCCCAGAGCTGTGCTGTAGGAAATGACCCCTGGCTATGGCTCACGGCTTTAGTAAGACAGTTGGGAAACTTCCAGAAGCGGATCTGGGGTAAAAGGAGAGGGTGTGGGAAAGAAACAGCAGGAGGAGAAGGAGGGGGTGGAGGTGGGGCTTAGTCTAGGGAGGTCCCTCAGCCACCCCTGTCCTAATGACCACAGGCCTCCAGGCCAACAGGCCCTGATTGGAGCCACTTGTGTCCCAACAGGGCACCTCTGGTCCCAAGGACTCAGCTGCAAATACCTATCTAGGGGAAGCTGGCCCTTAATTCCCACTACTTCGAATGCTTTATAAATCCCTGGACTCAACCTCGAGGTAGGGTATAAGCATGGGAGAAGGCTGGGGACAGCAGACTGAGAAGCAGCAAGCCACCTCAAAGGCCACCCAAGCAAACTGCCCACCCACCTCCTTCCTGGGCCTCACCTCTGCGAGGAGGGCAATGGGAGGGAGAGCACCCTTTAAAATGTCCAGGAGGAGTGCTGAGGAGGCAGCCAGGGAGTTATCATTCAGGGGATTCTGCCATAAACAGCAGTGGGGAGAGAACTGGAGGAAGCGGGGGAAAAGGAGAGGAAGGTGTGGGAGAGGGAAAAGTCCAAAACCTCCAAGACCAGGAGCTGGAGGCCGGGGGATTCCCCAGACAGGGGCTCAGGCTGGACCAGATGCAGAGAACAATGGGCGTCCAGGCGGGGAAGCAGGAAGGGAAGCGGGTAGGAGGCCACATGGTCAGGCCAGGGAGGGCCTTGCGCTTCAGGAGCCAAGGCCGTGGGCACTCTCACGGGTCCCTGTGGGCCAGTGTGAGAGCCAGAGCCAGCCACAGGTGGGAGGAGCTGTGCGGGTCATAACACCCTCTGCTAACAATGACCTCATTACCTGTGACTCGGGCCAGCGCAGGCCCTGCGTTTCATTTCATCCTCACGATTTCCTGCCGGAGGGCTACTATTCTTATGCCCATTCACGCTCTGAAAGGGAGGTGGTGGAAACCCAGAGAGGCGCAGTGACTTGTCCCACGCGGCCCAGCTGGTAAACTGCAGAGTCAGGATTTGAACCCAGCCAGTTTGGCTCTGATGGCCACTCTCTTAATCACAGCTGCTTCCCATGCGACAGAAATGGGTGCTGAGGACAGAGTTAAGATTAGAGGTAGATGAGTGCAGGAGAAAGATAAGAGTGGGGAAGAAATAATAGGGAAACGCTGGGCACAAAGAGAGACGAGGCAGGGAAGAGACAGGGAGCATTACTTTGCCCAGGAGAGGCCTCAGGCCGTGGGCGGCAGGCAGGGGCTCAGGCTCTCTGCTCACTTGGCCACAGAGGGGCTTCGTTTCCCTCAGCGGCCACCTTGCTGCGTGGATGACACCTTCCCATCCGGCCTGTCCCCGGAGCCCTACGGCATCCTCCTCAGCAGCAGGCCACTGGGCTTCACGGGAAGCGCGCTCTCTTTCTCTATTTGGCATTGAAACTCACAGCCCTCCCTTTTCCTGTAGGTGGGGTTTCCATAGGAAAAAGCTGCTTCTCTGTTTCCCCAGCCTAGCAACTGTTTGGAAGTCAGATCCCCACATCCTGCTCTACTGGGTCAAGTCCTTCTTGGACCGGCTCTTGCCCATCACTGGCTGCAGTGGACCAACGGGTGCCCCTGGCAATTTACTTCATCGGTGCTGGGTCCTCTTGGATCTCTTCAGATGAAGATGGCCTTGCTTGGGAATCCTGCTAGTTCCATCATCATCTAATTATGGGACAAGGCTGTGCCAGCAGGTCTGGGGGCAGAACGGGGCTAATCGAGCCCCCCCAGAAACACTGGAGGACTTCCCAGCCTTTGGAGACCTCTAGCGGTTTCTGCATCTAGCCCATTCTGGCGGTAAGCATGATGCAACTCCTGCGACTTTTGCTGGGGCTTTTGGGGCCAGGTGGCTACTTGTTCCTTTCAGGGGATTGTCAGGAGGTGACCACTCTCACTGTGAAATACCAAGTGTCAGAGGAAGTGCCTCCTGGGACGGTGATTGGGAAGCTGTCCCAGGAACTGGGCTGGGAGGAGAGACGTGGGCGAGGGGGCGCTGCCTTCCAGGTCTTGCAGCTGCCTCAGGAGCTCCCCATCCAGGTGGACTCTGAGGATGGCTTGCTTAGCACGGGAAGGCGGCTGGACCGAGAGCAGCTTTGCCGGCAGCGGGACCCCTGCCTGGTTTCCTTTGACGTGCTTGCCACAGGGGATTTGGCTCTCATCCATGTGGAGATCCAGGTGCTGGACATCAATGATCACCAGCCACAGTTTCCCAAAGGTGAGCAGGAGCTGGAAATCTCTGAGAGTGCCTCTCTGCACACCCGGATCCCCCTGGACAGAGCTCTGGACCCAGACACTGGCCCCAACACCCTGCACTCCTACTCCCTGTCTCCCAGTGAGCACTTTGCCCTGGATGTCATCGTGGGGCCTGATGAGACCAAACACGCAGAACTCGTGGTGGTGAAGGAGCTGGACCGGGAAATCCACTCGTTTTTTGACCTGGTGTTGACTGCCTATGACAGTGGGAACCCCCCCAAGTCAGGCACCAGCTTGGTCAAAGTCAACGTCCTGGACTCCAATGACAACAGCCCTGTGTTTGCTGAGAGCTCACTGGCACTGGAAATCCAAGAAGATGCTGCCCCTGGTACTCTCCTCATAAACTTGACCGCCACAGACCCTGACCAAGGCCCCAACGGGGAGGTGGAGTTCTTCTTCAGTAAGCATGTGCCTCCAGAGGTGCTGGACACCTTCAGTATTGATGCCAAAACGGGCCAGGTGATTCTGCGTCAACCCCTAGACTACGAGAAGAATCCTGCCTATGAGGTGCATGTCCAGGCAAGGGACCTGGGTCCCAATCCCATCCCAGCCCATTGCAAAGTCCTCATCAAGGTTCTGGATGTCAATGACAATGCCCCAAGCATCGACATCACATGGGCCTCCCAGCCCTCAATGGTGTCAGAAGCTCTCCCCAAGGACAGTTTCATTGCTCTCATCATGGCAAACGACTTGGACTCAGGAAACAATGGTCTGGTCCACTGTTGGCTGAGACAAGAGCTGGGCCACTTCAAGCTGAAAAGGACCAATGGCAACACGTACATGCTGCTAACCAATGCCACGCTGGACAGAGAGCAGTGGCCCAAATATACCCTCACTCTGTTCGCCCAAGACCAGGGTCCTCAGCCCTTATCAGCCGAGACACAGCTCAGCATTCAGATCAGTGATGTAAACGACAATGCACCCGTGTTTGAGAAGAGCAGGTATGAGGTCTCCACCAAGGAGAACAACCAACCCTCTCTTCACCTCATTACCATGAAAGCTCACGATGCAGACTTGGGCATTAATGGACAAATCTCATATCGAATCCAGGACTCCCCAGTTTCTCATTTGGTAGCCATTGATTCAGACACGGGAGCGGTCATTGCTCAGAGGTCACTGGACTATGAACAGATGGCCCGCTTTGAGTTCCACGTGATTGCAGAGGACAGGGGACAGCCCCAGCTCTCATCCAGCATCTCTGTATGGGTCAGCCTCCTGGACGACAACGATAATGCCCCAGAGGTGATTCATCCCCTACTCAGTGATGGAAAAGCCAGCCTCTCAGTGCTTGTAAATGCCTCCACCGGCCACCTTCTGGTGCCCATTGAGACTCCCAATGGCTTGGGTCCAGTGGGTGCTGACATAGCATCACTGGCCACCCACAGCTCCCAGCCATTCCTTTTGGTGACCATTGTGGCACAAGACGCAGACTCAGGGGCAAACGGAGAGGTCCTTTACAGCATTCAGAGTGGGAATGAAGCCCGCCTCTTTGTTCTCAGCCCCCACCTGGGGCAGCTGTTCATCAACATCACCAATGCCAGCAGCCTCATTGGGAAAGAGTGGGAGCTAGAGATAGTGGTAGAAGACCGTGGCAGCCCCTCCTTACAGACCCAAGCCCTGTTGAGGGTCTCGTTCGTCACCAGTGTGGACCACCTGAGGGACTCAGCCCATGATCCTGGGGCCCTGAGCACATCAGTGCTGACAGTGATTTGCCTTGTTGTCCTGCTGGCCATCTTCGGGCTGATCTTGGCTCTGGTCATGTCCATCTGTCGCACGGAAAAGAAGGACAACAGGGCCTATAATTGTCGGGAGGCTGAATCCACCTACCGCCTCCAGCCCAAGAGACCCCAGAAACACATTCAGAAGGCAGACATCCACCTCGTGCCTGTGTTCAGGGGCCAGGTGGATGAGCCTGGTGAAGTGGGGCAGCCCCCGAAGGATGTGGGCAAGGAAGCAATAATGGAAGCAGGCTGGGACCCCTGCCTGCAGACCCCCTTTCACCTCACTCCGACCCTGTACAGGACCCTGCGTAATCAAGGCAACCAGGGAGCACTGGCCGAGTGTCCAGAGGTGCTGCAGGACACGGTCAACCTCCTTTTCAATCACCCCAGGCAGAGGAACGCTTCCCGGGAGAACCTGAACCTTCCCGAGCCCCAGCCTGCACTGGGCCAGCCCCACTCGAGGCCCCCGAAGGTGGCAGGCAGCCCCACAGGGAGGCCGCCTGGAGACCAGGGCAGCGAGGAGGTCCCACTGAGCCCACCAGCTACCTCTGCAACCCTGAGGCGGCAGCGAAATCTCAATGGCAAAGTGGCCCCTGAGAAAGAGTCAGGCCCCCGACAGATCCTGCGGAGCCTGGTCCGGCTGTCTGTGGCTGCCTTCGCCGAGAGGAATCCTGTAGAGGAGCTCACTGTGGATTCACCTCCTGTTCAGGTACCTTGCTGTGGGCAGCTCTCTCTCTGGTCACCCCTGGGTCACTACTAACAGCATCAGACTCCACCATTACCCTCACAATCCTCATATTCATTCCTTAGGCTCACAGGGCACTTTATGATGCATTGAGTGTGTTGGTTCAGGGCATAGTTCTGGTGTCAACAGAATTTAGCTGTGTGATCCTGGACAAGTTACTTACTGTCTCTGAGCCTTAGTTTTCCTATCTGTAAAACTGGAATGACTATAAAAGTATTTGCCTCACAGAGTTGTTCTGAGGATTTAATCAGTTACAGCACTTGCTCAGGGAGCCTGGCACAAGTAGATACACAGCAAAGGTAGGAATTAAGAATATAAGCTTTGGAGCAAGGCTGCCTGGGTTCAAATCCTGGCTCTACCGCTTTCTAGCTGTGAAGCATATGAAGGCTACTCAGCTTCTCTGTTGAAGACATCCATGTTAACGACACCCATCTCCTAAGTTTGCTTAAAGATAAAATGAGAGAACTCTAGGTTAGTGTCCAGCACATAGACAGCTTTCAGCAAATGATTATGATGTCTTCTGCAAAGCTCTTTCCATCTCCCCCCGGGGAACCTCCCTGTGAAGCAGGCTGGCATGGGCATCATTGCCCAAGCTCAGGGGCTGCATATCATTTGCTTGAGGCCCCAGAGCTTGCCGGCTGGGTCTGCAGGATGGGGCAGTGAAAGCAACCTTGGAACTTGGGATTTAGGCAGATCTGGGCTCAAATTTCAGCATAGCCACTTAGGAGCTGGGCAGCCCTGGGCAAGTCCTTTAACATCCGACCCTTTTTTTCTCATCTATAAAGTGGGGGTTGTGATGGCAAACTTACCCTGTGTCTGTCTCCCAGGGTTTTGAGGATTAAATGGGATGATAAATGGCAAAGTGTCTAGAGGCCTAGGGTTTATTAGACACAAGTGGGAAGTGTTTTCAGAGATGGTGCCGATACCACACTCATATCTGCTTCTTTGGGCCCCAGACAATTTTCCCTTTGTCAGGCTGCTTGTCCAAAGCACACTTCTGTTTGGCCGGGCCATCAGCTGAGGCTTCCTGTGGAGCAAGGACACGGCTTCCTTCCCCCACCCCCTCCTCAGGAAGCCACCTGGAGAGGGCCCAGCTGCTTTCTTAGGAGTCTTGCCCTGGGCTCTGTGTGGCCCCAGAGGTTGCCCAGAGCCATTCATTCATTCATTCATTCATTCATTCATTCATTCATTCATTCATTCATTCATTCATCAAATGCTTACTGAATAAGTTCTTTGTGCCAAAAGCTGGTTGATAGTAAACAGAGACAGCAGAGAGCAGGCACTATGGTTGGCCCCACTGGGGTAATGGCAAGAAGGGTGCCCATTTGGGATCAACCCTAGGGTAAGAGGCAGCTCGCCTAATGCTGTCTTTCTAGCAGCACAGTGCCACAAAGGAGTCAGATCCAAGTTCAAGCTCCAGCCCTGCCACTAATTGCTGTGTAGCCTCAGGTTATACACCTGCAAAATGGGTGTCATGGTATCTCTTCCCCTGGGAGACTTGTAAAAACTAAATGAGATTCTATACAACTTGACAGTTACTAAGTGCTTATCATAAGATCTATTAATAAGTGACTTATATACTTTACTCATTTAATCCTACAACCACAAGCACTCTCTGGCCTGGATCTCATTGTAATTCCCTTTTTACTGCTGAGGAGTAGAGGCTCAGATGCTCAAGTAGTTCCTCAAGGCCTCATAGGTGGGAACTGGGGAAAGGGCAGGTTTATGATTGGAACCTGAGTCTAACTGACTCCAGAGTCTGGGCTCTAACTGCGATATTACCTTGAATGACAGTGCTCAGCTCAGGGGATGGTGCTCAGGGAGTGTCCCTGAAATACAGGCTGTCACTCAGGAAAAGGTGGTAGGTGCCTTAGGAGGTGGGATCTGCCCTGAGGTAGGTAATGGGACCCTGACCCTCCCGTCACATTGAAACCCCAGTCCTGACCACCTTCCCTCCCAACTCCCCTCTGGGATTGGCACTTTCTGTCTTGAACTGCCCAGAGAGGCCAGTGGGCCTTCCAGGGAGGGGTGGGGGTGGGCTCAGGAGGCAGAGGCAGTGTTTTTTAGGAGGAACACCCCAAACTCCATGCATTCATGGAGCATTTTAAACTTTCAAACCATCTAATTAATCCTGACAACCCATGAAGAAGTCTCCACCTTAGAGATGAGGAAAGATCTGGGTAGGACTAAAAACCTACTTGACATTACACAAGCTAGAAATGACCTTGAACTAGAACTCAGCCTCCCAAAACGTGGTCTGTTGCCTTCTCCCTCCCAAGGCCCTGCAGGGTCTGGCCCTGACATCCCTCCCAACTTCTGCCCCATTCCCTAGCTGTCTCCTCCGACCTTTCCGTGCTCAGTGCTTCTGTCTGGAACACCCTTCACCCCTGGCCCAGACCCTCACCCTCTCTCCACTTGCCAGACTCCTACGGAGCCTCGTGGTCTCAGCAGAGGTGCCTAGCATGCAGTATGAATTCAATAAACATTTGTAGGAAGAAGTGAATACATTTCCCCCATTTCACCCCACAACTTCCTCTTTGCTCCAAGTTGGGTGAGGGGCCCTCCTCTGCTCCCACAGACCCCCATCCTTTCTCAAGCCCATGCTACCCCCTATAGTAAGCCCCGTGCCCTGCCTCCCCTGACCGGTTCCCTGAGAGGCTGTGAGCTCCCTCAAGGCAGACACTGGGTCTTGTTCTCACACTTATTCTCATAAGTGAGCGCAGGGCCAGGCACAAACACACACCTACTAAATACTTGTTGAATGAATGAAAGCATGAATCAATGAATGATTAAATGACACCATTTTTGCCTTCCCTACAACATGGTCTTGCCTCTGGCCCACAAAAATTGGCTGCATGCTTGAATACTGCAGAAGGGGGGAAATAACTGTTTAAAATAATCCCGATCAAAGTAATAATGAATTTATGGTCAGGAAATGCCTATTTCACCTCTACCCCCACAGATTCCAACAGGAGCGGGTCACTTGGGGAGATGAGAGGGGATGAGCCCAGAGGGTCCCCACTCTCTCCCTCAGACACCCAGGTCCTGAGGTGACAAAGGCAAAGCAGGGAACCTGCATGCACAGGTCCCTGCCTCTCTCGGGTTCCCCACTCACCATCCCTCATCTGATCACACAATCATCTGAAACTGGAGGAAAGACTATAAAAAGAAAGCGCCGGCATTGAGGGAAACATCCGGCGAGGAAGTGTGCTGGGTCGGAATTGTGTGGAGTCAACAGATTTTTCCTGTCTTGTAGCAAATCTCCCAGCTGCTGTCCTTGCTGCATCAGGGCCAATTCCAGCCCAAACCAAACCACCGGGGAAATAAGTACTCGGCCAAGCCCTGCGGCGGCAGGTAAGCACACGTAGTCCCCACAGGCTTCTCGAGCCCCCCTCTCCTCCCCTGTCCTCCCCCTGCAGTCTCTGTGACAGTAGGAAGGGTGGTGAGCACATCCCAGACCTGCTCCCCTGGGAGAGTGCAGCGGACAGAATCCATTCCCCCAGCCCAGGCTGCTTGGTCCTGAAGCAACTGTATTTATAGTATTTATAGGACAGAGTCACTAAGGAAATGACTTCATCCCCAAGGCTCTGATTATGTCCCCTGATTGCAAAGGTGCTGGGCTATGGACTTTCAATCTGTACCTTTCAGCTTGCTTTCTTTCCACCCTTAAACATAATCTGAAGGCCCCTGGCTAAGGACATGAATGTGTGGGTGTGTACCTTTGGGCTGTCCTAGAATTAAAGAGACCTCAAGAGGACTTCTAATCTAACTCCTTGTTACAGATGGAGAAACTGAGGCTATAACTAGTTTGATCCAACCCAGTCATGTAAACTTGAGCAAGTCAGATAAATCCCCAAGGTCTTGGTTTCTCATTTTTAAAAGGAAAGTCAGAATGCTTCCTTGTAGTGATGGGGTAAAGATTTAATGATCAAATGTATTCTAAACCCATAGCCCAGAGCTGGGCACATAGTAGGTACACAAGCAATGCTAAGTCCTTTCCTCTTAAAGTGCCTTTGTTCAAGGTCATATAGCCAATGAGTGGCAAAGCTGGGACCAGCTCTCAGGAAACCTGACTCCTGGTTCAGTGCTCTGACTATCAACTTGTAACTTCTTTTTTTTTTGCAAAGATAGTGAGAGGTAGTGTAAAGCAGCGGTGAGTACTCCAGGGTCACAGCAGCCTAAATTTGAATTCTCACTTTATTACTTAATCCATGGGGACCTTGAGCAAGCTGCATAATTTTCACAAGTCTTGGTTTTCTCATTTGTAAACTGAGAACTGTAACAAGAGAACCCCTTACTATGTGAAAGGTTTAATGAAAAGGTGCACATACCCTGCAAAGCATAAGGCCTGACTCAGAGTAATTGCTCAGTAACAGGAGTTGTTGTCAGTGTTACTTGCAAACTTGCCACCTCCCTGCTGATCTCTCCATGCAGCAGAAATCGCCACAGAAAAAAAAGCAGAAAAGACCCCCAGGCCTTAAAGCACCTGCAGGGATGATGAGGGGCCAGGCCTGTCCCCCATGCCAGGAAGTCCCAGGAACGGGCCTCCCCCAGGTGACAAGAAGGGTCTATGAGAGGGAGGAGCCAGGGAAGAGACTGTAGGAGTGGGGCGGGGGGGGGTTAGTAGATTCTGAATAGCTTTTGGGGGCTTCATTTCAGCTGTATCCTCTATCGACCTGACCTTCTGGTCTAGGATTTGGTCTCAAATAAGGAGGAAGGAACATTCAATCACACAATCCACAAAGTATTAAGTACCTACTATGTGCCAGGCCCTGTTCTCAGCACTGGTGAGAGAGCAGGGAATGAGACAGATAAAAATCCCTGCCCTCACTAGAGCTCATACTTTGATGGAGGGATGAATGGGTAGATGGGTGGATGGGTGGATGGGTGGATGGGTGGATGGATGGATGGGTGGATGGATGGATGGATGGTGGATGACTGCATTGGCTCAACTGACATTATTAACATCCTGCTCTGTGCCAGGCAATATGAAGAAATGGGAGGGACAATAGTGAGTAACCACATGTGCCAGCACTGCGCTAAGCTCTTTACATATAACATCTCATTTGGCCCTTACCATGCCCCATGAGGTGGGTGTCACATACTCAGAGTAGGCAGGAGGGCTGGGATCAAGCAACTCAGGTTGGTCCAATTCTTAAGGTTAGACTGTGTGTATCCAGGACCTATTTAGGTGTATGAATGCCGGCACGAATAGAAGAATGTTCATGAGCTGGAATGAATGAACCTATGTGTGAACTTTCTCACTTGTGGGCTGGGTTGGTTTCCTTTGCAGGAGTCCAATCCCAGACACAGATGGCCCAGGTACCAGGGCTGGTGGCCAGGCAGAACCAGACCAGGAAGAAGGACCCTTGGACCTTGAAGAGGACCTCTCTGTGAAGCAGCTGCTAGAAGAAGAGCTGTCAAGCTTGCTGGACCCCAAAAAAGGTAGGGACTCCCCAGGGTCACCCCAACCCTCCTTCTGGCTCCACATACAGTCCACTCACATGCCCATGCTTCAGAGTTCTGCTCCAGTCCACTACAGGGAAACACAACCATTCTCTTTCTGGGGAAGAACATCAGCAACATTTTACTTCTCCTGAAGCTTCAGAAGGTCTTTGTTTAAAGACCAGATTCTACTTTAATTATTCACTTTACAACTCATCATAAAAATGGTGAATGATTACTGAGTTCTTTGTGTGTGCCAGGTACAGGAAACACCTTATATACATTATCTCATTTAAGCTTCCAAACAGTCGTTGGAGGTAGATACTATGAGCTCCCATTTAGAGATAAGTAAACTGAGGCTCAGAGAGGTAACAGCCTGCCCAGAGTCCCCTAGCTCATTAGTAGTTGAAGGGGAGTCAGCCTGGGCCTGCCTGTCATCAAGACACGTCGCCTTACCTCCTAAACCACTCCTTTGAATTTCTTTGGTGTATTTTAAATATCCTTTTACCCTGAGAACCGAATCAACTCTTGAATGTGCTAACATTTCTAACTGAAACAAAAATAATTTTTCTGGAGAAACAATTAGTTTTGAAAATATATACAAAATAATTCAAGAATCTGCTAGCTGCCCCCTCTGCTGTGGGCACCCTGCGGCCTCCATCCATGGGCCCAGCCACCCCTAAGCTGTGGTTTTGTTTCTGTAGTTAACTATCTGTTTCTCATCTGGACATGCCCTGTGCACTCCATCTGGCCGCAAACATGCTGAAGGCATGGCAGGCACTTCCTTTTCCTTGGTTAAAAAAATAAGGCTACCATTTTTTTAGTGCTTTCTATGCGCTAGTCCCTGTTCTAAGTGCCTCGTAGGAAACCCTTACGAGACGGGGGCTATTCGTTATCCCCATTTCACAAAGGAAACATCTGAGGGGCAGGGGTGTTAAGTCATTTTCTTTTCCAAGGTTGTGCAGCCAATGGTTATTAACACAGGCAGTGTGACTCTAAATTAAAATGAAGTAAGATGAAATCTAATTAAAATTAAGTACATGTAAAATGAAAAATTCAGTTCCTCAGTCATACCAGGCACATTTCAAGTGCCCAATAGCCACACGTGGTTAATGGCTATCACTTTGGACAGCACATATGTAGAAAGTTTTGTAGGACTGTACTGTCTAGAATGCAGAACTGTGAGGTGCAATATAGCAGCCCCTAGCCACATGTGAAAAGGGCTAGTCTGAACCGAGATGTGATGTAAATACAAAATACACTCCAGATTTTGGACACTTAGTATAAAAAAGAATTTATAATATCTCAATTTTTAAAATATTGATTACGTGATAAAATGATGATATTTATAAAAATATTTTACAAATTCATTTCACTTTTTATTTTTTTAATGTGGCAATTAGAAAACTTAAAATGACCTCTATAGCTCACATTCTATCCCTGCTGGGAAGCAGCACAGGGGGCAGGGGTGGAGGCCTCATGAAGGGGGCAGCAGGGCTAAATAAGCCCGAGCTGCTCATAGGGCTGGACTTCGATGAGGCCATGGGGAGTATGTCTGACATTGGGATCTTGGCTGTGTCAGATAAAAGCCCCACCTGAGGATGTGACAATAATATTTTATTGGTTGCATGAGCTCACTGAATGCTCACAGCAATCCAACAAAATTAGCACTGCTATTTCACCGCTTTATGAGAGAAAAAGGGGGCTCAGAGAGGTTAAGCAATTTTCTCAAGGTCACACTGCTCATAAGCAGCAAAGCGAGGAAATCGAACCCACGTGGGCCCAGCGCCCACCTGCCACAGAGTGAACTCACCATCGCCTTTCAGCCACTCTCACCCACGCCAGTGATTTTCTGCTGAAGCTCTCTGCCCCTGCACAAGGAAAGGCCTGATTCTGTACCACCAAAGGCGTTCCAACCTTATTACCCCAGAGTCTCGGGGAACTAAGGTTTACATTTCCCAAATGTCCAGGGTTAATATTTGTTCATTCAATCATTCGGTGAATGTTCACTAAGTCCCAGGCGTGGGCTGGACCAGTTGGGAGGTGGCCTGACCCTGCCTCACAGGCTGCACAGTCAGTCCCATGCTCACAAGGCGAGACCGAGACTCATTTATATCAATATAAACGACAATTAGCTGTATTTTGAAATAACTTTTCCAAATTACACAAACAATATTTAATGTAGAAAAATGCAGGTAAAAATAAAATAAATCACTCCTGTTGGGGGTCATTTCAGTTAACACTTTGACATATCTCCTTCCAGGCTTTTATCCTATGCACAGATTTTATTTTTTTATTTTTTATTTTTTTCCTTTTTATTGATTTATTGGAGTAACATTGGTTAGTCAAATTATATAGGTTTCAGGTGTACAATTCTATAATACATCATCTGTATATTGTATTGTGTGTTGACCACCCCAAGTCTCCTTCCATCACCATTTATCTCCCCTTTAACCTCTACTACCTCCCCACCCCTTCCCTCTGTAATTGCCATACTGATGTCTGTCTATGAGTTATTTGTTTGTTTGTTTGTTTTTCCTTAATCCCTTCACCTTTTTCACCCAGCCCTGCAACCCCCTCCCCTCTGACAGCTGTCAATCTGTTCTCTATGAGTCTGTTTCTATTTTGTTCATCAGTTTATTTTGTTCATTAGATTCCACATAGAAGTGAGATCTTATGGTACTTGTCTTTCTCTGACTGGCTTATTTCACTTAGCATAGTGCTCTCCAGGTCCCTCCATGCTGTCGCAAAGGGTAAGAGATCCTTCTTTTTTACAGCCAAGTACTATTCTATGGTGTAAATGTCCCACAGCTTTTTATCCATTCATCTGCTGATGGGCACTTGGGCTACTTCAAAATCTTGGCTATTGCAAATAATGCTGCAGTGAACATAGGGGTGCATATATTCGTTCAAATTAGTGTTTCAAGTTTCTTCAGATACATTCCCAGAAGTGGAATTGCTGGGTCATAAAGCAGTTCCATTTTTAATTTTTGAGGTACCTCCAAACTGCTTTTCACAGAGGCTGTACCTTCGGCGTTCTCCAACAGTATGTACAGATTTTAAAGCAGCTCACCTTAAGCAAACATTAAGTACATGTTAAAGTAGATGTTGTGCTTTTTTTTTAAGACCAGTGTCTAAACCACAAGACATTCTTTCCTCTGCTTGTTCTCTACCATCAGGCCTGGGACTAGTTGGGGTTTTTTGTTTTTAAATATATATTTTTATTGATTTCAGAGAGAGGGAGGGAGAGGGAAAGAGAGGGAGAGAGAGACAGAAACATCAATGCTGATTGGCTGCCTCCTGCACACCCCCTGCTGGGGATCGAGCCCAAAACCCAGGCATGTGCCCTGACCGGGAACTGAACCACGATCTCCTGGATCATAGGTGGATGCTCAACTGCTGAGCCACTCCAGGCGGGTGGGACTAGTTTTTGAGACAGGAAAAGGAGAAGTGTGATGGTGGCATTGGGGATCCAGGACACAGTTTTTCACTGCCCTGTCCCTTTCCTGGGACAGCCCTTAGATAGCCAGCCCCTTTCCAGCCTGCCTCTAAGACAGGGTTTTCTGTAGCTTGAGAGCCCGGGGCCAGGTGGTGACCTTAGCAGGCCTGGGAATTCCAGAGGCCATACGTGGGCACCTGGAGCATCCAGGGGGAAGAAGGGCCAGCTCTTCAGGGTGGATAGGGTGGTGCAGTCACAGGGGGCTTCAAAGACACCAGATCTGGCATCAAACCTGGATTTGGTTGCCTAGTAGGTATGTGATTTAACTTCTTAGAACTTTATCATAATTTTCTCATCCATAAAATGGGATAATACTCTTGACTTCAAAGGTGGTGTGGAGGTCAAATGAGATAATTATGTAAATTGCTTGGCCCTGAAGTACCTAATAAGTGCTCACCAAACAGAGGCAGCACCAAGCCAGAAACTCCAGCCTTGGCTGAGAAAAGGGATTTTCCCCATTCAGTGGTGCACCTGGCTATACGGGATGGTGAAAGACACCCAGGCCTGAAACACTCCACCGGCCCAGGCGTTCTTTACAAACAGGCCGATTTCTAATTCTAGGCCTTCCTCCTGCCTCCTCTCTCAGCTCCTGGGCAACTTCAGTGAGCCGCCTTCCTGCCCAGCGAGCTTCCCTGTCAGGGCCTCTTCCTTCCTGTCCCCCTCTGGCTACCCCGTCTGTCCCCTGCCATTTCCCTTCCCTCCTTTGTTCAGTGCCCTGGCCCTGCCCACACCCCACCTCACCCCGCCCTGCCCTTCCGTGGGCCCAGCCCTCACTATGTTCTCTCCTCCCCCCGCAGGTCTGGCCCTGGACCGGCTAAGTGCCCCAGACCCCGCCTGGATGGCCAGGCTCTCTTTGCCCCTTGCCACCAACTACCGCGACAACGTGTTCTCCCCGGACACCGCGGCCTTGGAGGAGCCGAGGACCTTCCAGACATTCGGCAAGGGCTCGGGGCCAGAGCTGAGCCCGGCCGGCACGCGGCTGGCCAGCACCTTCCTCTCGGAGATGAGCTCGCTGCTGGAGATGCTGCTGGAGCAGCGGGCCAGCGTGCCCGTGGAGGCCGCCTCCGAGGCGCTGCGGCGGCTCTCCGTGTGCGGGAGGACCCTCAGCCTAGACCTGGCCACCAGTGGGGCCTTGGGCACGGACGTCCAGGGGGGCCCAGGTGGAAAGAAGGGGGCCGAGGGCAGGACCAGCAGTAGCAGCAGCAGCAGGGGCCTGTGGATCCGGGAACCAGGGGCCCCAGGAGATGTTAGAGAGCCCAGGCCCTGAGGATCCTTGGACATACTCTGATTTCTAAACTTGTTGAACTCTGAGCAGAGGTGGCTTGAGAACTTCAGGGTGACTGATGACACCCTACAGAGGGGGCAGGGGCCCAAGGATTAGCAGCTGGCTGACCAAAGCAGCCCCTTGCTGGGAGCTAGCTGAATTTTTTGGAGAATGGAGATAGTTTGTGGGCAAGTGTTTGCTGGCAAAACACATGCAGAGCACAGAAGGCAGGTCCTCGGCGGAAGAGATGCCAAGGAGCGTCACAAGCAAGACAGGACAGCCTTATTGCATACCGGGAGGTGGGGGCTGGATCCTGGGGTGCCAGGCGAAGCCCTCTGACCTACTAATAAAGGAAAAGCAGTGGCTTGTTCCCCTGAGTACACCTCCCACGGGGAATGAGTGACAGAGCGATGGTTCTTTGCTCCCCTCCCTGTCAAGTGGGTCAGGCTGGGCCTGGACAGGAGCTGGGCCTGGACAGGAGTGTGCAGTGTCAGGTACATGATGGGCATGTGCACTCTTCACCCCACTCCTCTATTGCCGTGATATCAAATAATCTGCTTCTCAGCTGGAAAATCAGGGCTAAGAAAAGAGTGACTATTTATAGAGAGCATTTACGTGAGCCAGGCACCAGGCTTACAATAGAATTTAATTAATAATTTCTTGACAACCCTGAGAGGGAGGTGTTATTATCCCCATTCCACAGATAAGGATCTGAGCCTTGGAGGGGCTGAGTGTCTTGCCCTAGATCAAGCAGAGAGGAGAGGCAGAGCCAGGATCTGGAGCCAGGTTTGTCCAACACCAAAACTCATGCCCATGCCCTTGACCTTGACACTAGGCTGCCAGCCAAGGAAAGGATCAGGAAAGCCCCCACAGGTGAGCTTTTGCCAGTAGTGGAACTGTTTGAGCTCCCCTCCAGAAACTGCTGAAGAAAGTTCCCAAGCTGCTCAGGCCTGCATGTCTTTACACTTCCAAGCCCAGAGTAAAGGGTCCTGGATCTGACCTGCTGCAGGCCTGGGCCTCTGCAGAATCCTGTCCTTTCCCAGTGAGCAGCCCGTCACTTACAGAAGTCACCTTCCCAGAAACCACCGTTTGTAGGTAAATATTCCTGTCACAGCAGGTGTGGGCCTGTGAATTCAGGCCGAGAGGAGGGTGTGAACCGGCTCTGTGAAATGGACACTGACAGCGGCAAACCTTCCAAGGGGAGGAGGGAGTGAAGAAAGAGCAAATATTTCCCCAGGGCTCAGCCGCAATGTTTTCCTGGAAATTTCCAAGCTGTCATTCAGCTAGCTTCTCGGTAGCCTGGGGCCCTCCTGGACACTGAGGGCAAAAAGTCCTCCTTTTGTTCTCCTGTGGAGCTCAGTACTCACTTCGCTGTCCACATAAATGGGTCCTTCATGCTCCTAACTAGGGCTACTGGAAGCCACGCATACTTAGGATCCAGCGAGGCTTCCTTATCCCACTGCTCTGTTTTACAGATGAGGAAAATGAGCCCCCAAAAGCAATGTGTTTCAGGGGCAGGGTCTCTGGGTCTCTGATCTCCTCACTCAAGGCGAGAGTGTTCTCCTTATAAGATCTGTGATTTTCAAGCTGTTGGGTTCCCGTCAATGAGAGGCCAGGGACATGAAGCAGGCAGGGTCTCCAGCCTGACCAGCCAGGTACCCACACAAAGCAACATATGGTGAATACTCACTGAATGAATGAGTGAATGAATGAATGAATGAATGAACAGTGCTTCAGAGTCCCTTTTACCTATATTGGAGCTCCAGGTAAGACTCTATTAGGAAAAAAAAGGTTCCATATGTGAAAGCAAGCTTGAAAACCACAGCACTGGACAGTGCTGACCTCCCATTTACTATTGGATTTTCAGTGCAGAGCTGATGTTGGAAGGGTGGGGAAGAGAGACGGGGGGAGAAGGTGACCTGAGGAACCTTGAACCATGGCTGGCAACTGGATCATTGGATACACTGGATCACTGCCTCCTTCTATTTCAAAAGTCCTAAATCTGTAGTCCTTGGACCCCCCTGCATACTAGGCAAAACTTTGTGTACAGGCATTTTTCTAAGCAGAAGATACAAAATTCTCATCAGATTCTCAAAGGAACAGATGACCTATAAAAGGTTGTGCAGCACTGCTCTAAGTCACGATCTAAACCTCCACAGACATGGGTAATTTTAGTTATAAGGAGTCTGAACATTTTATAGCAAGGAAATGGCAGGACAGAAAAGGCTGACTGGCCCAAAGCCACGGGGCAGGTTTGCTGCTGGGCTAGGATCTGGATCTGGGATTTAATATATCTTTATTGATTTCAGAGAGAGGAAAGGAGAAGGGGAGAGAGAGAGAGAAACATCAATGATGAGCGAGTCATTGATTGGGTGCCTCCTACATGCCCTGACTGGGGATCTAGCCCACAACCCAGGCATGTGCCCTGACCAGCAATGGAACCCTGATTGCCCGGATTGGATCCTAGGTCGACACTCAACCGCTGAGCCACACCCAGCCGGGCTAGATCTGGGATTTAGTATGATGTTCATTCTAATGTAAGAAGGGTTCTTAACCTGGGGCCCCTGGGTGGGCTTCAGGGTCTCCGAACCTGCTGAATTGCTTATAAAATTGGGAGGTGCATTTTCTACCGTAAGGAGTCAGTGCTTTCATCAGATTTTCAGGTGGTCTGTGACCTAAATAAGGTTAAGGATCACTGCAGTCCTCTAGGTTAGTCGTCAGTTCAGCCTTCCTTGCAAAGCCTTAAGAACACATGGGCCAAGCTACGCTGAGGTGGGGGTGTAGGTACTGGGGGTTGTACTCTTGCCTGCACCATGGAACCCCCTCCTAGCACGCTAACACCAGACAGGGTATGGGGGACAGAACTGAGTGGTCTGAACAGGAAGGTCACAGAAACTTCTTGACATCAGCCAAGATGTCAAAGCTGAGACTTTGGACATGCTCAGAACGGTTTCCACCAAGATGGGCTCTGTCCCCTGGGAGACTGAGGGAGCAGGGGAGCCAGCAAGCACTCAGTTAAATGTCATCTTAATTTGGAAAGCGCAGAGGGACATTTTTTTTTTAATCAGCAGTCAGCTGTTCTCCAGCACCAGGAGTGCAATGCAGCGCTCACATGGAGCCTGGGGCAGCTCAGAGATTGACAGGCAGCCTTGTCACCCGACTTCAGCTTGGCAGCTCACTGACCCTACCTCTCCTCTGGCTGAAACAAGAGTGAGATGGCAGCCTAGCTGGCATGGCCAGTGGTCGAGAGTCGACCTATGAACCAGGAGGTCATGGTTCGACTACCAGTCAGAGCACATGCCTGGGTTGTGGGCTTGATCCCTGGTGGGAGGGGTGCAGGAGGCAGCCTATCAGTGACTCTCATCATTAATGTTTCTCTCTCTCTCCCTTCCTCTCTCTGAAATCAATAAAAATATATTTTTTTAAAAAAGAGTGACACGGCAACCACCACCCTTGTAACACTGGAGAGAACCAAATCCCAAAACGGAGAAGACAGGAGGGGGGAGGCTCAGCTGGGCACGTAGTATGTACCTAGAAAATAGGTCAGCATTTTCCAACCCTAGTAAGTATTGGGTGCATTATAATGGGTAGGGCAAGGAGAGAAATATGATCAGAAACACTCAACAAACATTTTGTATTTGATGAGCAATTACTATGCATAAAAAGTAGCACTAGGGCCTGGCCAGTGTAGCTCAATGGTTGAGCCAAGCGGTTATTGGTTCCATTCCCAGTTGTGGTGCATGCCTGGGGTTGCAGGCTCGATTCCCAGTAGGGGGAGTGCAGGAGGCAGCTGATCAATGTTTCTCTCCCATTGATGTTTCCATCCCTCTCCTTTCCTCTCTAAAATGAAAAAAAAACATATTTTTTTTAAAAAGTAGCACTAGGGGGTGGGGCATATAGAATCAATCTCTTCAACAAATATTTAAAGCACCTACAAGATGCAGGGTAGGCTTGCTGTTGGGTAGAGAAGTGGCAATGCAGGGTCACTCATTCACTAAATATTTACTGAAGGATGATAAGAAACAAGATGGGGTAGGAAACAGCTGCACCCGCCGCCTCCCGCAACCACATCAAATTACAACTAAAATACAGAACCACCAGCACTCAGAACCTCCTGAAATCTGGCTGAACAGAAGCCCTACAACCAGGGAGCTGAAGGAGCACCGAGACCGGTAGGAGGGGCGGAGACGCAGGCGGATCAGGGCTGAATCCCGCAGACGCAGCCACGGGCCCACACCCAGTGCCGCGGTTGAAACCCGGGAGGGAATCTCGGCAGTGGGGGTTTCCTGGAGCAGTGAGGGGTTCAAGCCCCACAGCAGGCCCCCAGCCCAGGGCTCCAGGGCCGGGAAGAGACGGCCCCACAACTCCGGGCTGTGAAACCAGCGGGGACTGTGGCTGAGGGTCGTGGAGGCTGCGGGAGCCGCAGTAGCTCCTCTAAAAGGGCCCGCGCACGGACTCACTCGGACGCTCCCTCTGAGCCCAGCACCAGGCAGCAGCTTGAAAGGACCTGGGACACTCGGGGAGGAACTAACCTGCCTGAGATCCGGGCGAGAGGTGGAGGCACAGCTTTCTCCCCGGCAGAAGGGCTGGAAGAGGCCATTCTCCTTTGGCGAGTACTCCCCGCACACAGCCGGCAGGCAGGCGCCGTATTTGAATCGCCAGCACCTGACTCTCACCTTTGGCCCCGCCCCGTGATTCCCGGAGGCCCTGCCCCTCCCCACCTGCAGCTCATCCAGGCCATTTCCAGGGGCTTTTCTGTGCAAGTGGCCTCTCAAGCATCATGCTTAGGCCTTTCCTAAACTCTCTTAAACAAGCAGCAGTGGGCCCCATACAGCTTGATAAGCGGCCCCGGGGCCTGGCACTAGGAGCAGCTGCATTGGCTCATAGCTTGGCCTCTCCTGGACACCTCCAAGCCCAGCACAAGTAGCAGTCAACTACGGTTTGCTGTGTAGCTCATGCTGGGTGGCCCTGGGCAAGGTACTGGCACAGGCTGAATTTGCACCTCCCGGGAGACGCCAGAGACAGTGCACCTGGTTGTCAGACTCAACCACGCTGGATTACGACCCTACCACATCCACGAGTGAAACACTCAAGAGGCGCACTTGGTGAACACCAAAGCTCCACTGAAGTAAATCCTGCTCCACAGGGGTGTCTCCAGCACAACAGCTCTTTGGCTGTAGTTGCAGCTGGTCCTCACAGCTGATTGGCCTGGGGGTCAGTTCCTCCCAGGGACGCCAACAGTAACCAAGACCCAACTACAACAGGACAGTGCACACAGCCCACACAGCACCTAGAAGGCCCAGCTCAGGTGACTGGGGAGGTTGAGCCACTGGACCCTACAGGACACCTACTACGAATTCCACTCTACGAATTCCAGGAGACATAGCAGCTGTACCTAGAGCAATCTGCAGGGAGCCGGCTCTGTGCTCAGCTCCACAAGGGAAGCATAGAGTTTGACATAGAAACAAACACCTGGAAGCAGCCAAAATGTGAAGGCAAAGGAACATGTCACAAAGGAAAGAACAGAAGAAATCTCTAGAAGAGGAACTAAATGAAATAGATCCAAGCAAGCTAACAGATACAGAGTTCAGAATTTTGTTTATAAGGATGTTTAAGCAGGCTGTTAGGAAAATAACTGAGAAAATCGATAACATAATAAAGTACCAATTTGAAATGAAGGCTACACGAACTGAAATGAAGAATAATTTACAGGGAATCAACAGTAGAGCAGAGGATGCTGAGAATCAAATCAGCAATTTGGAACATGAGGAAACAAAAAACACCCAACCAGAAGAGCAAAAAGAAACAAAATCCAGAAATATAAAAATGGTATAAGGAGCCTCTGGGACAACTTCAAGAGGCCCAACATTCGTATTACTGGGGTGCCAGAAGGAGAGGAAAGAGACCAAGGAATTGAAAACCTATTTGAAAAAACAATCACAGAAAACTTCCCCTACCTGGGGAAAGAAATCGACTTACAAGTCCAGGAAGCACAGAGGGTCCCAAACAAGAGGAACCCAAAGAGGCCCACAGCAAGACACATCATAATTAAAATGCCAAAGGTTAAAGATAAAGAGAGAATCTTAAAAGCAGCAAGAGAAAAGCAATTAGTTACCTACAAGGGAGCACCCATACGACTGTCAGCTGATTTCTCAACAGAAACTTTGCAGGCCAGAAGGGAGTGGCAAGAAATATTCAAAGTGATGAAAAACATGGAACTACAACCAAGATTGCTCTACCCAGCAAAGCTATCATTTAGAATTGGAGGTCACATAAAGAGCTTCACAGATAAGAAAAAGCTAAAGAAGTTCATCACCACCAGACCAGCACTACAGGAAAAGTTGAAGGGTCTTCTTTAAGAAGAAGCTAATGAACATAAGAATCTGACAAACTAAATAGATCCAGAGACACTGATGCATGCAACAGACGATCATATTTCTGAGGAAAGAGGGAAAGGGGGTGGAGGGTGGGAAGAGATTAATCATAGAAGTTATATGCATAACCCATGGAAACAGTTAATAACAGGGTGAAGGCCTGGGAAGGGGGTGGGAGGGAAGTGGAGGGGATCAATTGGGGGGGAGATGGGATACCTGTAATACTCTCAACAATAAAGGTAAATTAAAAATATATATATATTTACTGAACATTGCATTAATGCTGAAGATATAATGAACCAAACAGCCTTGTCCCCACTGCAGTGTNGATGGGATACCTGTAATACTCTCAACAATAAAGATAAATTAAACATATATATATATTTACTGAACATTGCATTAATGCTGAAGATATAATGAACCAAACAGCCTTGTCCCCACTGCAGTGTCAGGGCTCCCTGAAAAGAGCATCTTGGGATAAGGAAACTGAGGCAGCAAAGTCTTACACAAGGGTCTTGTTGCTGAGGGCACCAGGCCCTGAACCTCTGGTCACTCAGTATCCTGACCCAGGCTGGCTGTGCTGACAGGGGCCACCTCCCTGTCTCTCCCCTCACATTTCCTTTCAGGGCACTGACAATGAGTCATTAGTAGCGGAATTTTAATGGCAAAAGCACAGCAGTTCTGGGGCTCTGGATGAAGCCCATCCCCTGTGGTTGTGTAGAGACCGCAGTGACTGAACAGTCAAGGATTTCTGGTCCCTTGACAACATCTCACGACTCTCCTGTCCTTCCCTCTCCATAAGAGCTTAAAAATATCCACCTCTATGTTGGGCACCCCCAATTGAATCAGTGCTTAATTTGTAATGACTGAGGGGGAGGGAGGGCCAAATCTGGCAATCACCACAGGATACCCAGTGTCCCTGGACAGTCTGAACTGCCCTTTGGCCCCAGGCATGGTCAGGAGGCAGTGGTAATCAGAGAACCCAAAACGGCAACAGGAGGGGAAGAGGCTGGTGCGTAGGCTCCACAAGAGGACCAGATGTGACATTTTACAGAGGTACCCGACAAAGGCTCATGGGCAATCTGCAGGGAGCCGGCTCTGTGCTCAACTCCACAAGGGAAGCATTGGGTTAACCAAGTTCTTTACTGCAGGATTTCTTGGAACCTTGAATATGCTGATGTGCATTGTGAATCTATAAAAGGGGATGTCTAGTGCAGCGCTTCCCAAACTAATTTGACCACAGAAACTTTTTTTTTTTTTTTGCAGTGAGTGAGATTAGTGCACTGCACAGCTTAAAACCCTGAGCTTTAACCAACGTGTGCACTGAGCCCCTACCTGCATAGGCCCTGTACTAAGTGCTGAGGGTACTAGAATACAAAGAAGGCAAGGCTGCTGCCCCCACATGAGGGCAGGGTGAGGCCAATGTGCAGGGCAGCCCTGGAAAAACTGCAGGAGGCAGGGGAGGCAGTGGAGCTAGAGGAAGCTTAGGACCCCAACTGTGACAGGAAAGTGTGGCAGGACCACTAGAGGTTGGGGAAAGGGGTGAGCAACAGAGAGGGTAATGTGGACCCCTCCTCCAACTCCTCCAACTCCTCCCACCTTTGAACTGGCCAAGCTAGGTGGTCTTTCCCATTTGAACAATCACTAGGGGTTCTGGTCTTCAGTCCCTCCCATACTCCTCTCAACCACATCTATGCTTATTGAAGTTGGGCTAACATCCAAAAGCCAGGGCACAGCTATTCACAAATTCAGTAATTGGAGTCATTAGCGTTGACTCAGAACTGATTTTTTCTAAGTCTCTGTCTTGGAGAAGCTTTTAAGACCCTTTAAATTGGTTAATGGAAAGTTTAGAGATGAGAATGGAGCCTCAGCTTTCAGCTCACCCTGCCCGTCTCCCTGGCTCTCCCCAACACACTCAAGGGCAGAGTGATGAGATAATCCCGTATCTGTTTTATTAAACTCCCATCCATTTCTGGCACACCCTTCACAAACAAAGATCTCAAAATCCACACTCTCTTGCTCCAAGAGTCCAGGTGCTCCATCTCCATTCACTCCCCCACGTCGGCAGGACAATAAAAATGCTTTCACGTAAAATTACAGGGTGAACAATGCAGAAGAGCCCTGGGCCAGGGGTCAGGAGGCCTGGCTCCTCTCCTGGCCTGGTGACTCACACAGCCATGTAAACACACCATCACTCGGCCTCCTAGGCCTACATGAGGACCAAGGTCCGGTCCACAGTGAAATGCCCCACCAGCCCCACAGAGTAGGAGGGGAGATACCACTGCCCTTGGTCTACAGCTGCGGAAGCAATGCAGTGAGTCAGGCTACCCACTGCTTCAAGGTGACACGGCCATGCAAAGTGACATGGCCAGAACCTGGGTCTTCAGATATTCTCCTCTTCTTTCCTGTGCTGGGGCAGGTACTTAAGGTTGTTTGGGAAGGTGGGTGGATAACTGGCCTCTTCTTTGGGACTCAAGTTGTGTATCTCTTCTGAGAACCCACAGGCTCCATCTTTAGGGCTGAAGTGAAGAGTCTGAAAAAGGTCAAGCAGATACATCAGGCATTTAGGAAAGAAACTCCTTCCAAAATATACACTCATGAATCTGCTGGAGATGAACAAAAGCGAACTGCCTCAACTCCCTGAGTTTTAGCTGTTCATGGAACCTCCTCAGGACTTCTGCCACCTCTCTGGGTCCCCGCTCCCCTTTATGCAATGTCATAATGTTTTCCTTTAACTGGATTCCCTCTTCTTACTGTCTGTGAAACTACAATATGCCAGTCACATTTTTACATTATATATTAAATATACAACTACTAAAATAAAAACTATCCATTCGAGTACCACCTAAAATCCTCTTGTGAACCACCAGAGGCACATGTATCAGATGCTGGCAAAAATGTAGTCTAAGCTTGAGGAAACTATGGGGAAGGAGGTGGTGACTGATTTGCTCAAAGACGAGGACTGAGGTGAGGACCAGGGTTTCCGGAGCCTTCAGTAGTTTTTCACAGGTCACTGAATGAATCCTTTTGGTGCATAGACCAGAAATGCTTGTAATTGTATCCACTGCTCATCTGTGAGGCCACCAACTGGGGGCAAAGGTCAAAGTCATTTATTAGCCATGCACTTGAAGTTGCTTAAGAACCTGGAAATTCCACTGGCATTTTCATCCTGGAAAGGGATACTGACACCTGTTTTTATTGCCATCCAACTTACTCCCTGCCCTTCCCCCAAGCACCAGTAAGAGGTACCAGTGACTGTGTTTGATCTCACCTTAGCCAAAACCCAGTCTGACGAGACTCCTTTCCAAGGGGTAGGGGTCTTGGGGGACAGCCCTGCTGGGGTCTCTGGAGCTGGATCCGAGATAGCCACTTCTGCAGAGGAGGCCAAGGCTCCCTGTACTCCAGGCATGTGGGAGGCGTGAGGCTCCTGACAGCAGGGTGTTCAGGCTGCAGAGGGAGGGGCTGGAGAAGGACTTCAATCCTGTGACTGCCAGGTCCTTGCGTTCCAGGGCTTCGAGGAGAGGTGAGAGCTTATTCTTGGATTCCTACTTTGGAGCAAGGACTTCTTAAAGACTTGGTTCCCCCTGGCACTGTTAACCCACACCAGCCCAAGTGACTCCTGGGTGAACAGGGCTCTCAGAGCCCTAGAAGGGTAATTCAGGGCACCGAGGCAGCCTCAGGACATCGTCTCTCCCTGGAAAACCACCAGAGCAGCTACCATTTGCTTAATACCTACTGTGTGCCAGGCTGTGCTAAGTGGGTAAGCCCTTTAGAGTCATCTCATTTAACCCTTACAGCCACCGGATGAATAGAGTACTACTTGGACCTTCACATTCAGAGGCAAAGAAACAAGGTGCGGCCCAAGGACATGGAGTCCAAGTTCTGTGATGCACCGGGCTTAAAACAGGTTTGTCTGCCTGGAAAATCTGTGCTCCTACCCACCACTGGCGCAAGAAATGGCAAGGAGACCAAGAGCTATTGCCACCCCCTTCTCTGTCACCAGTACTGAGCTCAGGGGAGGAATCCTGTGGGCTCTGACTTGTGTCTGTACCTGCTGTCTCCATGGAAAAGAGGGTCCGCAACCTCTCCTGCGCAGGCTCATTCCCCAGAGCCGCAGACTGCTGGTAACACCTCACAGCCTCTCCCAGATTCCTCTGCACTCCAAGGCCCCTCTCATAGCAAATTCCCAAGTGGAATCTGCTCTGTGAGTCCTAAAGGAAAAAATGAGATACACGTGCAGGACTGAAAACCTGAAATGCTAAGGCAGGAGGAAGGCAGAGCAGTCAGGCATGCTGGGTCTTCATCCACGCAGGTCGAGGCCGAGTGTGGACCCTCCCAGTGCCACGGGATCTCAACCGTGAAAAGCCAAAGGTCCTGAGCCCATCTGACACAATGGAGCCAAGGGTCCCTCCACCCAGGGAGTCCAGGGAGCAGTGTATAAGCTTCTTTCTCTAAGGCTAGTGCCAAAAGCATGCAAAGTCAAGTCTGCAGGAAGCACTCGGCCCAGCTAAGGGAAACCTGAGTCAGGCTCCTACGTTATCCTGAAAGAGCCAGGAGCAAGGGTGGGGCTTGGCTTCCCAAATGCCTTCCTGAATTTACCAAGAGGGCTGCACAGCATACATTACAGAGGAAGTATTTCTCCTCCTTTGAAAGGTTAAAAGGATGGCCCCTCTCTGCCCAAGGCTTGAGATCCTTTCTCTACTCACTGAGAACTATGACCTCGGAGAGGCAGTGTCAGGTCAGGTTAGAAGCCCAGTCTGCACAGCCAGCCTGCCCACTTCCAGCCTTGGCTCCACCACTTACCAGCTGTGCAACCTCTGGCATGTTAGCCCACTTCTCTGTGCCTCAGTTTCCTCATCTATAAAGTGGGCATAATAATGGCACCTGCCTTATTACATTGTCATGAGGATGAAATGTGTTAATATATGAAAAGTACTTCGATGACTGTTGTTATTTTCATACCTTGAGTTGCCCTCATCATTAATCTCTCCCTCTCTACTGGAATTTTTTCATTATATTCAATCTTCCAACTTAAAAACAAAACACTTGGTTGATTCCCAATGGTCCAATTTCTCTTCTACAGTTAAATTTCTGGAAGGAGTTTCTATAACATGCTGACCAAAGTCTATGCAATAAGTGTATAAATGTGGTGGACTCATGGCTATAGACTGGCTTAGAAAGCAGCACTGGATATTTATAAGGTCAAAACACCCACCCTGCACAAGCCTAGAAAGACAAAATTCCTAGTGGGGTGAATAAGTGTGAGGCCTTTGCACCAACACAGGGTTAGCTGACAGCCCTTCGCGCATTTCTCCTCGTAGCATGCTGGGTGACTAAAGCGGGCAGGTGCCCTGCGTGTCCAGCACAGGGATATGAAGCCCACTCAGCCCAGTGAAGGCTCTGGCTCTTTCAAGGGAAGACAGGCACAGATGACAGTACTGGTTGGTGACACCAGTCCCTTCTGACGGCTACTACAGATACTTTGGGCAACACAGAGTGAAAAAGGGCAAGTATGCTGATGACAGAGAGTCCATGTGGAGGCAACCAGTCCATGTGTCTCTCTCACATCAATGTTTCTCTCTCTCTATCCCTCCCTTCTCCCTCTCTCTGAAAATCAATGGAAAAAATATCCTTGGGCGCAGCCGGCACGGCTCAGTGGTTGAGCATCGACCTACGAACCAAAGTCATGGTTCGATTCCTGGTCAGAGCACATGCCCAGGTTTCAGGTTCGATCCCCAGCAGGGGGATTGCAGGAGGCAGCCAATCAATGACTCTTATCATTGATGTTTATATCTCTTTTCCTCTCCCTTTCTTTGAAATAAATTATATATATATATAATATTTTAAAGAAAGAAACAACAAAGCATTAACAACAAAGAAACACACTGGTCAAATACACTTAAGGAGTACAGCAAACCACAGAAGCCTTCTCAGTGATTCACAGTGACCAAAAGCTCAGAGATTTCCTGCACTAAAGATACCTGTTTAATTCAGTATTTCCCCAACCCAAATTCCCACGTATTACTTACGAACATCCCATGAAACGAGTGCTCTGTGGAGCAAACTCTGGGTGATGCTGCCTGATGCCGATGCCCCTGGTTCACAGACAGCTAGACACCACCCCCAGCACCTGCTCGGGGTCTTTACTCCACATCTCCTGAGTTCCCTAGACTATCACACGTGTAACGATGCACCTTTTGTGTGTACAACTGACAAAGTGTTTTCATACCTGTTATCTTAGTCAGATTTTGATCCTCACAACACCACTGTGAAGTAGTAGACAGGCAGGCACTATTATCCCAACTTTAGAGATTAGGGAACAGGTTTGTATCAACAGGCGACTGGCCCAATAGTGTGCTGGTTAACATTTAACACCTGGCTCTCCAGGGGAAAAGCCCTGCTCTATAGCATTTAGCAAGTTCTATGGTGCACAGTTGATTTTACACCACCAACAGCTCTCCCGCGCTGGTTGGAGCCAGCTCTATCTAGCACACCACTAGGCCTGTGCAAAGGTCACACGGTAAGTCAGTGAGAGGCTTGAAGCCAACCCAATACTCCTATCAAAAGGTTCCCCTAAGCACAAGAGAACTCAGTACCAGTTCCAAAGTCCCTTCCTTTATCAGATTCGATCCGAAACATGCCAGATTACTGGAGATGTCATACCCCATTGTTGGCAGCAAGCCAAAGATATTTCACAGCTTTCTGCTCATCCAGGTACGGCTCCTTGGTAAAAAGCACCCCGAGGAAAGCTTGGGCCTGTGGTCAAGAAGGCAAAACATATTTTGGTGACTGCCAGGTCCCACATGTCCCAAGTGCTCAGGAGAGACCCCACCCATAGCACACACCTCTCTCAAGCCTGAGTCTGCAGCTTGCTTGAGCATGGACACTGCCCTCTGCTGCTCAGGGTCCCTCGAGGAGCCTGGGTCTTGTAGCAGGCACCTGGCAAAGCGGTACTGAGCCAGGCAGTGGCCCTGGCTGGCAGCCAGCTGGTAACAAAGGACTGCCTGGGGCAAAGAGAGAAACACAGTTACTGTAAGCCTGCTTTTGCTTTGAGTGAAAGTTTTAAACATTATTTTAATTAAATAATACATCATCATTATAGATTAGTCAGAAAACGCAGATAAGCCAAAACATTTTAAATACAGATAAAATGAAAAGTAGAAACACAATCCCAAGAAATCCTGCCTCCTTAAGATCATTAACATTTACTGCACAGCCTTGCAAATTTCTTCATATACATGTATTTACACATGTACACATACACATTATATATATTTACATGCACACATAAATGTGTGTATATAAGGAGAGGGGGAGAATTACATTCATTATTTTCTCACCTATTTTTTCATATAATACACCATGAATGTCTTTCCCTGCCAATATAGATCTAGCACGTTTTTGTTTTGTTTTTTAATATGTCTTTATTGATCTGAGAGGGAGAGGGAGAGAGAGAAACATCAATGATGAGCATCATTAATTGGCTGCCTCCTGCATGCCCCCTACTGGGGATCGAGCCTGCAATACAGGCATGTGCCCTGACCAGGAATCGAACCACGATCTCCTGGATCATAGGTTGGTGCTCAACTGCTGAGCCATGCCAACTGGACTAGCATGTTATTTTTAAGGCCCACATAGATGTTATTAAACCAATTCTCTATTGAGGAAACTTCTGGTTGCTTCCCTTTTCTTTACCATCATATACAATTTCAAGAAATACATTCTTGTATAACATCTTTATGTACTTATCCTACTTTTTTAGAATCAATTAACACACCAAAGTAACTTTCTGGGCCTTGAGGATACAGCTGCAAAGAAGAAAGACAAGGGCCCTGGACTGCCTGAGTTTGAAGTCTAAATTCCCAGAAGTTAGAGCTTTTTTTAAAAAAATATATTTTTACTGATTTCAGAGAGTAGAAGGCAGAGGGAGAGAGAGCAACATCAGTGAGAGTCATTGATGGGCTGCCTCCTGCACACCCCCTGCTGGGGATCGAGCCCAAAACATGGGCATGTTTCCTGACCAGGAATCAAACTGCAACCTTCTGGATCACAGGTCAGTGCTCAACTGCTGAGCCATGCCAGCCAGGCTAGAAGTTAAGAGCTTTTTAAAAGTGTTTATCTCGCCCGGCTGGGCGTGGCTCAGCGAGCGATTGGGCATCGACCTAGAATCCAGGTGATCGGGGTTCGATTCCCGGTCAGGGCACATGACCAGGTTGAGGGCTCGATCAATGACTCTGTCATCATTGATGTTTCNNGGCTTCCCCCATGCCCTGCCCACTGCTCATTTCTGGAGGTCACTCTGGGCCTTGAGGAACAGGGGATGGGTCTGGGGCAGGAGAGGAGGTGCGGTACCTTGCTAAGGTCCCTGGGGGTGCCTCTGCCATATTCGTGGCACAAGCCCTCGTTGTACTGTGCTTTGCTGTAGCCACGCTGTGCAGCTTTCTGGAAGTAGGAAAAGGCCACTGTGTGGTTCCCATTCCTCACGTTCTCTGTTCCTGTAAGAAAGCACAGAGCATAGACACTCACAGTTCCTCTGGGAACTTCCCCACATCCTCGGCCAGGTACCCACAGGCTTCTTCCTTTTTTTTATGCTGGACATTTGCATATATTTCATCCTCTGAACATTTCACTGGTTTGCCACACACATCAGTGGGTTCTGCCCTCGTCTACGCCATCCTCTTGGTAATAGCATCCCGATTTCCCTTTGGGAACAGCCCTCCCCACAGTGCCGTCAATCATTGTGCCTCCTCTCTTCCCAACCAATGAGAACCTGCCTCAGGAATCTGACCCTTGATCTCCTTGTGACCGGTGAGGGGAAAAAACAGCTTTTGCAGGTTTATTCTGAATATAGCACTTTGAAGACACCATCAGTTATTGCCCTCTGGGTCCCCAGAGCTTCCCTGATTCCTGTCTTTTTTGAGGCTTGGCAGGTCAGCAGGTCTCAACAGATTCCTTCTGTGTTTGAGCTAGCCAGAGTGGGTTTAGGCTGTTTGTAACCAACACAGCCCGACACAGCTGATATTGTTAATATTGCTTTATGAAGACACTGTGAGAGATAATTTAAGACCAAAGACCTGAACTCAGGTGTGTCTAAAACCTCCAAACAAAAAGAAAAACAGGAAAGAAAATGGGCACAGCCAATTCTCAGCTCTCACCCTTGCTCAAGCTGTGCTTCCTGCCTGGGATATCTTTCTTGCCTCCACCATCAGGCCTTCACATCCTGTTTCTTCTCTAGAACCTACAGGCCACACTCAGGCTTGAAACCCTTTTTTGGCACTTACTTAATATACAAGCCTTTTTCTCCAAACTAAACTGTTTCAAGAGGAGCCCTGTCTCCTCAATTAGAAAGTAAAATCCTGGAGGCAGATGCAGAAAAAGAATGTAGAAGAAATAACTTCGCATAGGGTGAAAGCTCTATACAAATGCAAAATATGATTATGGCTTATGCTCCTTTTGTGTTCTGTCACAGTGCTTAGCAGTTGCTGAATAAATGAATATATGAATGAAGGGATAAGCAAGAAAATTCTCAGAAGAGACTGTCTGCCCATCAAAATCACAAAAAGCTAATGAAGCAGAAGCCAGGTTGCATTCAACCAGCAGTGAATTGAAGATGCTTCCCTGCTGCCTGAAAACTCTCAGTCTAGGATTCAGAGCCCTCTTGTCCTTGAAAAGACTTGAGAGGGCAGAGGATCCCACCCTGTCCCCAATCCCCACACTGGCTCTATCAACACATCCTGACCCATCTACTCTTCTCAGTCTCCTCTGTCTCTAACCTAGACCAAGCCACCATCCCATTTTGCTTAGTCATCAGTAACAGTCTCCTGTTCCCCCTCTGGCATCCCTACAATCCACATCTATCTACACAAGAGCCAGAGAGATCTTTGGAAAAAGTACATCAGATAATGTGACTGCCCCTCTTCCTGCTCCAGTGTAAAACACTCTAATGGCTTCCTGTTTCGGTTAGAAAATCCACACTGTGCCATGACTCAGAAAAGCTCACTTGATCTGGCCCCTGCCTGATTCTCTGAATTCACTCTCCCTGTGATCTCTAAGTTCCAGACACACTTACCTTCCTTTTGTTCCTCTGAAAAGCAAAATGGATCCTGCCTCAGGAACTTTGTACTTGCTGTTGCTTCTACTTGAAAAGCTCTTTCTCCAGATAGAAACAAGACTAGCTTGTTTTTGTTAATTAGGTCTCAGCTCAAGGATCTTCCCATCAGTGAGGGCTTCCAAATCAAAAGTTGTTCCTTGCCCAAATCATGAACACATCCCCACATTTAATTTTCTCTGTAACATTTATTGCCATCTGAAATTCTGTTTGCCAACTTATTGTTTTCCTCTCCCCCAACTCCCATAGTAGTTCCATGAGTAAAGACTTTGTCTTGTGAAACACTAGACAGGGCTAAGCAACACCTAGACCAGGGCTAAGCAAAAAGAGAATGCTCAATAAATTTGTTCTGAATGAATCCTAGCCTCTCAACTGCCTGCCCACTAGACTCCAACAGACACTGCTCAGAGTCTGGGTCTCCACACTAGAAGGCCTGAAGCTTAAGTCTCTATGGAAACCCGGACAAATGGTGGAGAGGCATCTGGAGTCTCCGTGGCTAAGAACTTCCTATTCATGCACTTGAGGGCTTACTCTGAACTGCAGGAGCCTGCTCTTGCCTATGTGTGGCAGAGAGTGCAAGGTGTCCTCCAAGATTTATTTTCTCCTTCTTACATAGTAGTAGATTTTTCAGGTAGACACATGGTCATTTAGCTAAAAACTACATTTTCCAGTCTCCTTTGCGACTAGTGGTGACCATAGGCCTACGTTTTGGACAATGATCTGTGCAACTTCTTGGTGATGTCCTTAAAGGGAAGGAGTGGCTCTTTTGCTTTCCCACCTTTCCTCTTCCAGTTGGTTAGAATATGGATATGAGGGCAGGAGTTAGAATAGCCAAACAGGACCTCAAGATAGGAGCCAGTTTTAAGAATGGCAGAGAGGTCTGAATGAGAATGGATCCCTGACACCACTGTGCCACCATGCCAGATTTGGTCTACCTACTTGGGAGAAAATAAACTCTCCCTGGTTTAAACCACTCCCTACCCTGACTCTATTTGACCTTCTCCATACCCTTTCCATTCTCCCATCTGCCTGCTTTGAGGCAAGGTCCACCTAGTTACCCAGGAAGTTGAAAGCGATGGAGACACTGAGCTGGAAGAGCTGCTGAATGGAAGTCACAGCCTCCTCGAGGGAAAGCGTTTTTGATTTATCTTGTTCCTGGGGAAGAAATACGAAGATTCACCATGAAAAGGTTCACTGGGGTTGCCACTGCCCGGGGCAGTGTTAGAAAGATCCAGGTGGTCAAATCTGGACAATACCTGTTTTTCACCAGTGGGCTGGGGCTGGGCTGGTTTTGCCTGGGAGCTGAAGCTACTGCTGGTGTGCAGGAAGCCAATATCACTGGAATCTGCAGGGGAATGGCCGCCACCCAGCCAGGGCAAAGGAGAAAGTTATTTCTCCTCTTCTCCCACTTTCCCAGTCGCCCAGCCCCTCCATCAAGCACCACTACCAGGAATCACAATAATTCTGAACTACCCCAGGAAGCATAGGGCCTCACAAGAATGACAAGCCCCTTACCTGGCACATACAGCAAGAAATGTTCGTCTGTCCAACTCCCCACCATCCCCCTGCCTTCTGCTGATTCTAGGAGGTGGGGACATACCTTCCTCAGAGGGATCTTGAACACCAGCTGCTCTCAAGGAGCCACGTGAGGAGAAGCTCTCAGGCTGAGTGGAGGGTTCTTCCTGGCCCAGCCTGGGTTCCGTGAAGGCAGTGTGCCTGGGAGTTGGGCTGTCGGGTCTGGGGAGAATGTGCCTCCGTAGCGCTGGAAAGAGCCAGCGACAGCAGTCACATGAGGAGGGGATCAGTACAGCCTACTTGGGCTTGAATGAGTCCTCCCTGAAGTTTTGGGGACCAAAGGAAGAATTTGGGAACTCCTATGACACCTCCTCCTCCATTTCCTTCACTGGCTTCCCTCTGCATGGGTTTAGAGGAGCTCCATTTATGCTGATCTCCTGCCCTAAGCACAGATCACTCTTCTGCTTGAATTCTTCCAGTGGCAGGGAGGCATCTACTTTATTTATTCTGCGTTGTAGCCCTAGCACCTAACACTCTGTTTGACAGGAATACTGATAATGATTATATAATAAGAACAAGAACTTAAACTAATACTTACTGAGCACTTACTATGTACTAGGCATATACATCCTTGACATACATTAATTCATTTAGTCTTCCCAAGATACCTATAGAATGGGGTTCATTATTACCCTATTTTATAGATGAAGAAACTGAAGCACAGGGAAGTTTAAAGTGACTTGTCCAGGGACACAAGACTAGTATACAGCAGCTCTGGGACTTGAACTCCAACAGTCTGACTCCAGAGCCTTAACCAATTGGCTTATTGCCTCTGCACCGTGGCACATAACAGCTACTCAATAAAGATTCATTTATTAATGAATAACTGAGCAGAGAATGACCTAATTGGCTGAGAAGTACGCAGGAAGCCACACCCAGTATCTGAAGTATCCTGGACCCTGTGGGGCTCCCTCCATGGAAGGTGATGGGAGGACACTGAAGGGGAGATGTGGCCCACACCCAGGGGTGGATGGAACTTCCTCACATTCCCCTTCCTCTGACTTCAGATAGGAAAGGCAAGGAGCTGCGGATGGCTCTTTTCCTGAGGTGTGTCCAGAGATGCTTCCTGGCCCAGAGAAACTCCCAGCCCAGCCCTCCTGTCCCCGGGACTGAGAACTCACAGGAGCATGGATGCCACAAGGGAGATGAGAGGAAACAGTCCAGGGGACTGCGCCAAGAGCCACGCTCTGCTTGCCGAGGTCCTGCTGGCAGCGATGCCTGGAAGTGGATCTGCCTTGCCAGCTGCAACGCCAGCACAGCCAGGGTACCCTGGGAAACACAGCACATCAGGGACACAGTTTTCCACCAGTCAGCTCCTACAGTCCCAGCCTTCGGCTCAAACATCACTTCAAGAAGCCTTTCCTGACTCCTGGTGAGGGCAGCTCCTCCACTCCATACTCTCACAGCACCCACATTTCCCCTCTGGAACCCCGATCATACTGGTACTTAGGCAATCATCTCTGCAATTATTTTGCTAAGGTCTGACTCTCCTGTTAGTCTTAAAGCACCACAAGGGCAGGAACCATGTCTGTTTTCCTCACCAATGCATCACCGGCACTAAGTACAGTGCTAAGATATACATGCTAAATAAATGCATGAGCGAGTTACTGAATAAACAAAGTCTAAGCAGGCAAAAAGATAACGTGGGAAGTTGAGGCTTTGTCACAAATGCAGCGACGGGTCAGAGCTTCCCACTAGGCTCACTCTTTCTCTAACCTGGCCCAGCTCCTCCCTTCCCCCCGTCCCAACCAAGCTACCCCTTCACACACACATTCACAGGTACAGGCTTGTTGGTGTCTCTTCTTCAACAGGTCTGCAGAAGACCTAAGCTAGCTCCTAGCCCAACGACTGCTTGGTTTTCCCTGTCCCTTCCTGTATATAGAAAGAGACACCCAAATATTTACTGTTGCAACAGGCACTGGGTACAGTAACAAACAAGAGAGTTTCTGCCCTGGTAGAGTTTATTATCTTCATTAAGGGAGAAAGACAAAAATCCAAGTACACAGGGAAATAGATATAATAACTACAAATTATGCTAAATTCCAAAAGGAAACAAATCAGGGCTTACGTGGAGTGTAAGAGGAGGCTTGACAAGATAGGGATGCCACCTGGGGTGATGTGTGAGCTGAGGCCAGAAGGAAGAAAAGATGCTGGCATTGTCAGTAACAGGGACATGTACCCAGGGCACAGGGGACAGCTTATGCTCAGGCCCTTTCACACAGGCCGTAGTGACGGAGCTGAGGGATGGCATCAGGACCCCTGGGATCCAGGTCGTTTCCCAAAGGACTCTCTGTGGGATTGCCTTAGGGTTTGGATCTTTGATAAAATGGGAAAATGCTCCCTTCTCCAAGGCTATGCCTCTAGTCCACAGCTACCCAGAAAGAAGTGCCCTTGTCATGGAGACACTCCAGGCACAGCTCTGCTAATGACACCCATTTACAGATGAGACAACCGACTCAGAGAGATCAAGTCACTTGCCCAAAGTACACAGCATAGAAGTGATACGGATGAGATGTGACAGACCCAAGAGTGATATGTGTGCCAACTACATTCTGATGACCTATAAGCACAACTTGGAAGACAAAGATTCTGCCCCTATTAGATTGAGCATCTGACTTTACAGATCAAATTCAACAAACATTTACTGAGCAACTATAATGGGCCAAAATCTGTACTAGGTGCTTTTACAAGCCATACTAGGTGCAGCAACCAACCAAGCTATAGAGAGCATGGTAGGTAAGAGTATAAGCTCCAGAGTAAAATCTGGCTCCTCCACTTAAAAGATGTGTAACCTTAAACATGTTACCTGAAGTTTCAGAGCCTAAGTTTCCTCATCTATAAAATGGAGATATTTCCCTTACAAGATTTTGCAAGGATTAAAGAAGATGTTGCACATATAATACTTTACATTAACAAGTAAGATATTAGCTATTTAGCACTATTTATTATAAGCTCCATGACGGCAAAAATCATATCTACCTTGTTCTCTGCTACTTCCCTAGTGCCTACCAAAAATGCATGGCTCAGAGAGGTGTTAATAAATGTTTACTGAATAAGAGGAGGAATAAATACAAGGAGGGTAGGGGATGGGGAGTAGCTCTACCTCCCTAACTATGCTCCAATGCCACAGGTTACTCAAAATTTGAGTATGGGTACGATGATGCCCTAGCTCCTGTTTCTAGGCTCTACTTCCATGCAGGATCATTCTCATCCACACTGAAGGTAAAGGACAGGACTGAGGAAGCCTTACCCACGATATGGCATCCCACAAGGTGTTTGGGGAGACACGGCTAGACATCCACTGGAAGGCATCCTTCCATCCATGGCACCTTGGGCCCCTGCTTGTGCCTGGACCTGGGCCATGGGGGCCTGACCTAGATGATGTAATAGAGGCCATTAAGTTCTATCCCAGGTAGGGGGAGAGGGAGGCCAGGTGAGGAGACTGGTGACAGAATGGCAGTATCTCACCTGTCAAAGCTTGGCGCAGAGACCAGCAGGGTCGAGGAGATAGTCTGAGACCCATCTGGGCTGGTGGACTTGGGGGTCACCCCCCGGAGGCCAGGTCCTAGCACACGGGGAAAAGCTGGCAGAGCAACAAAAATCAGTCACCTTAACATAAACAAGACTGAGGCAATGGTGGTCCCACCTCTGACACTTGACAGTGCCCCACCCCAGGAATCTCTGGCATCTGCCCCTGCAGAGGTTCTTAAAGGACACACGTGGGAATCATTTGTCTAGTACAGATTCTAGCGTGCCACCCCAGAACCCATAAACCACATCGTTCGGAGTGGAGCATCTACATTTTGATTAAAGCTCCCCAGGCTATTCTGATGTTCTCGTAGGGCTCACAACCACTGTTCTAAAATGACCAGGCATTCAGACACAAACTCTCGCTCAATATTTGGAGCACTTTGTCTCTAAATCTCTGCCTACTCTATTGGCCTCTACCCCTTTCATTGGCTCCCCCCACGTTTCAACAGGCACACACATCTCCAGGCGCTAAGGCTTGGTAAACTCTACCCTCTTCCCACTAGCCCCGCCCACACCTCAAATTCCCGCAGCCGCCTTCCGGTGTGCAGCCCC